CATTTGAAATGAGACGATGCCAATTGCTACATGCAAGAAAGCAAGCTTTCTAAATATGTATATTTTTAAAAGCTGTAACGCTTTTCAAAATTATGTATTTTGAAAGCGAAGCTGCTTGTAATGTAGGATTTGGCAGCGTCGAGCCGCGCTAAACGCCCGTTTTGGAGTACAAAACGTGGGCTGGAGGTCATTTCCCTCCACCCACGTCTTTCATTTTCAAACGGTTTAGCCGATTTTCCCGCCCCCCCCCCCCCCCCCTCGGAAACAGGATAGCCGTAGGAACATAGAGGCATATCTTTGTAATATCAATATGGATTTCAATTGTACTAAACCCATTTGAAATGAGACGATGCCAATTGCTACATGCAAGAAAGCAAGCTTTCTAAATCTCTAGTCTAGTGGTGAGTCGTGACTCTGCTACGCTCCAAAACTTTCAGAGATCCATCTGCCGATGCTCCTACTGCTTCAGCTTGTGCTGTTACAGTGATCAAACCCATAATCATACATGGTTGAAGCTTGGATTAGTGCATGCATCAGCATATCCTGTACCCGAAACTAGCTGGCGACTATCGAGCAGTGATAGCGCCTCAGTAAAAAAAACCGTGTGGGAGGGGGCAGAAGAAGAGATGAGTTTATACTCTCCCTCTCTCGCCCTATCAATTTATTCTCAGGAACTAGCGTCCCTCCAGGTCATCCTCGCTATAGTGTCGTTTCCCTAACATCTCCATCATTGCACCCCGTTGCAGTGTCATTGTCCCGCATGGAGTCACCTCTCGCACCTGTACTGTAGCTGATAACCTCCTCCACGAAGGGTATATACACCGGAGCTTGACTCGATAATCTCACTACCGAGCTGACCGCTAGCGAACCTTGTAACGATTTCAGCACCACCGCTTCGTACTGACTGGTAACCAGTTTCGACCACCGTTTGGCGACGCTCGCTTTTCGGCTCGGGGAGTGCGCGTGGGTGGCGTGAGTGGTGGTGGTAGCGGTGAAAACAACGTCGTAGCTGAAGTTTTGGGAGACGTAACCTGAAGAGGTGTGACCGCTCGAGGCATGCTTTTCCGCTGCGTTGACGATTTCTAAACGCACAGCCACGTCCTGATGGCGGGAAACGGGATGAAGAATCAGAAGGACGATAGAAAGTGTTAAGAACAGTGGACGGAGTGACGGCATAGTGACGGAATGACGGCATGATGGTGGAATGGAAAGGACAGAAGATGGGCGAGGGAAGTCGGAAGGAAGGATCATATATTGCGAGAGTGTTCAACCAGATGAGGCTTGAAAGGAAGAGGGGGAAGATGGGATGGGTGGTGAGGGAGGAAGGGATGAAGGAAGGAGGAACGATGAGACTTTATGGAAGATGTGTCCAACAGCAAGCTACAAGAGTACGCTACGACTCTACGTATCTAGCGACTCGGCTTGCTACTATGTTCGGAGGCAATCCTATCGCCCAAGGGCTCACCATCTTGGCATTCATGCCCGCGACCACGAATTCCGCAATCTGTGCCACCTCAGCGCTTCGTGGGTCCACAATGACGTAGCCTCCAGGCAGCAACACTCCTGTGTGTTCCGGAAGCGATACTGTAGACGCTAGTGGTAGTGTAGACTGCATTCGTGTATGGTCCTGAAACGACACTGTGGATTGCGCTTTGGAGAGGCTACAGCTCAGCAACGTCAAAGTGGCTACGAGTACAGAAATGGCCCGAGGAAGTGCCATGGTGCGATGACGATCGTCAAAATAGTCTACAAGAAATAGAGACGTCTTAGCTATTAGCAAAAGCTCAGCCAGATACGGAACCTATATCGGTTTAGCTCAACGTAGACTGACAGTTTGGGAACCAGCGACTTGAGAGCATTCGGCAACGGAGCATGCAGGACAATAGTCAATACTCGAGTTACTCACGAAAGGAGGTCTACTACTATGTCGTACAGGCACTGACTATGCTGTGCAGTTCACTGAACCTGAAGGAGTTTCAACACAGCGATAATTACTGATCGTTCTATAAACTGCTGAGCCGAAATACACGGAGTCGGGCACAGGAACATGACGGGATGTTGACGAATGACAGGCCACCATACTACCACCACACGATAAAAAAGAGGGAAGGAATAATTCACGCGAATGAAGGTTGGAAGTGACACGCCCTCAGCTTAGCTGGAGCTAGAAAATTATGCTTCAGCATCAACAACCTCAATTACCGTATTCGAACGTTGTTTATCCTGCAAAAAAAGTATCTAACCTATTGTTATTATCGTGTTTTGAGCATCTTTCGAAAGCTAAATCCCAATCCCAGCAACCCCATCCATCCATGCAGTCCTCTCTGGGCTGGAGGAATATTTCTTGACGACCCGCCTTCCAGACGTGACGGAATGCCAGGCCGACGCTGACGAGGCCCACATCAGCTGACCCCCATTAGAGCTAGTGGAACGGGCAGGGAAAACTCCACTTTCTCTTGGGTGACGTTTGTCTGTCAGAGCAACTCTGGTCAGCGAAACAGTTACGACGAGGCCATGGCGCGCTTTCTCCGGAGCTTTTGGTTGCCCGAGTGCTACAGAAAACAAATACACGTGCTGGCGGCGACGAGGCCAACTCATTGGTCTCTTGTCACTGTTCACAGACCGCGCATTGAGCAGTTTGGGCCGCAGATTTGGGATACCATCTTGCGGAATATGCGCACAAATTTCCTCGCTCGTTTCCGATGGAATCGGCGACGCCTTGCGACTGCTGACTAATGATCGTTTCCAATCAATCGGCATACGACTCCTGTGAATAACTCTGAACAAATATATGCATTAAAGCCCAAGACCTGAATTACTCAACGGAAGTCAACGCCAATAAACTAGGTTCGGAAGAGGTTCGGTTTGGTTGCGAAACCCTTTCACTCGCGAAACCAGTTTGCAACAAAGTTGTGTCGCTTGGAAGAAGACCTGTGATGAATGGCGTGCTTCCCACAACCAGAGTTGAGCGTGCCTACCAAACAGTGCACACTTTGACAATCCTAGCAGCAGACTAAAACTAGGCATAATATAGAATACTTGTAGGCAGGGCGTAGCCGTTGACTCTAGAGCGATCAAGGCGCGATGCGATGGTGTGTGGTGCGGAATGTGAGTTCGAAGCGTAAGGATATTGAGCGGCGTGCGATGAGATATGGTGTAAAAATGCAGGTTTCGCATAACCCTCACGTTCGGCCAAGCGTAACCATCCCTCGCCCTCGCTTTCCTTCACCCGGGTCCCACGCTTCCTCTGTCCATCGCCCGCGTCGTCGCCTTCGCTTCCGCAGCCCATTGCATTCGCGGCCCCATCCCGTCGCCTTCGCTTCCCCCGCCCGTCGCCGCCTTTGCTTTCGGATGACCGTTGCCTTCTCTTATCCCGCCCGTCGCCTTCGCTTCTCCCCCCCGTCGCCTTCGATTTCCCCGCGCGTCGCCTTCGCTTCCCCCGCGCGGAGCCTTCGCTTCCCCCGCGCGGAGCCTTCGCTTCCCCTGCGCAGAGCCTTCGCTTCCCCCGCACGGAGCCTTCGCTTCCCCCGCGCGGAGCCTTCGCTTCCCCGCGCGGAGCCTTCGCTTCCCCCGCACGGAACTTGGGGAGGGAGGAGCGGGCAGTGATGCTGGGCAGCTTCCCCGAGGACGAGGCGCGTCTGGGGGGGGACAGGCGGGGGAGGGAGGGGGAGAGGGAGGGCACGCGGGGGGGGGGGGGCGGGGAGTGTTGGAGCGGAGTGAGAGCTACGACTCTCTGCTGTCAGACATCAGCCGCGTCAGCTCCCTCGCTGAGAGGCGGAGGAGGAGGCGGAGGGGGAGGGGGAGGGGGAGTGGGAGGCGCGCTAGCCATGCCCTTGCTCGTGGGCATGGGCACGGGTGGCGGTGGTGCGATGGAGGGTGCCTCGGGAGCGTACTGGGCGACGGAGGGGAGCAGCAGCATGGGCGCCGGTGGTGCGTCGTCGGGTGCGTTCCTTGCAGTGCAAGGCATGGGGGGCAGCAGCAGCCCCATGGGCGGTCAGCAGCAGGGGGGGATTTCCAGCAGCACGGGAGGGTAACCCTCCGCCCGGCTCTATCCCCCCCTCCTCTGACTCGGCGGTCGCGCTGGCGCCTGCAAGGGCCAGGCTGGTGTTCTCTCAATCCACCTTCTCCCCGCCCTCTCCTGCCTTCACCATTGGCGCCTCGCCCCCGCCTCCTGCACTCACTCTCACTGCTGCGCCTGCTGCTCCTGCTGCCGCCGCTGCTCCCGTTTCTCCAGCTGCAGGCACAGGTGCCGGAGGCAGTGCTGCTGCTGGTGCTGCTGGTGCGTCCGCCCTGCGCAGCCCGGTGGGTCTGGCAGCCTCCCTGGCACCAGCGTCACAGCGCTGCTCCTCGCGACGCCCCTCTGCGCAAGGTGCCTCCTCTGACTCGGCGCGCAAGGGACCCCATGTGCTCGCATCTGCGAGTGCTGGCGGTGCTGGGGACGTGCTGAGGGAGCCGCTCTTGACACGGCAGCAGGAGGAGGAGGAGGAGGGGGAGGGAGAAAGGCGCGCAGCTGGCGCAGCAGAAGTAGCAGCAGTTGTAACTCCTAGAGCAACAGCAACAGCCCGAGCAGCAGCAGCACCACCACCATCCGCACTGCCTTTCGCTCCACAGCTATACATGCCCTTCTGTACCTCCAACCTCCAGCCCTTGCTTATTCGCCATACCCACTCTTCCCTCCCCGTTCTATCACAGAACCATGCTTGTACAAGTGCCCAGCACCATGGGTCCCAACAGGAGTGGGATGGAAAGTTACCACCTTCCAGATTTGTGCATTGTGCCTGTAGTCCACTGGCGACAACTGTAAGGAAGAAAATCTCTTGCTTTGTTGCATTTCATTGTCGTGCTCACGTACATGGCTGCTCCGAGGCCCAAAGTGTTGTATCATGAGAAGCATCCAACATACATGGCATGGCTATTTGTCATACCACTATCATCAAAGAGTGAAGGCATCACAGCTACGTAGATACATGGCAGACCTGCACAAACACGAACCACAAAATCTAATGTGCCAAGAGTCGAAGCAGCGGGGAAGGATACAAAACAATGACAATGCAAGGGCAGGCAGGCAACAAGAAACAAGCCCCTAGAACAAGGTAGGAGTGTATAGGCGTGGCAGGGTAGAAGGGTGCGGAGGAATGGTTGACGAGAGGAAGTGAGGAGGCTGAGAGGAAGGGAGGATGGCAGCGAGGGACGCAGGGAACAGGGAATATGAGGAGGGAGAAATGAGCAAGGGAGACAAGGAGGAAGGGCGGAAGAGAGGATGAGATGAAGGGAGGGAGGAAAGGGGAAAGAGAGGGGAGAAAGACACTGAAGCAGAGAGTAGGGCAGAGGGTGGAAGAGAGGAAGAAAGGAAGGGAGGAAGGGAGGACAGGAGGAAGGGAGGGGGGAGGGAAGAGAGGGAGGATGGGAGGATGAGAAAAAAGGAGGGTGAGACGAAGGGAGGATGAGCGCAAGGGTTGGAGGGTGGAAGGGGAGAAGGGGGGATGGGAGGATGTGAGGATCAAGTTGGGAGAGGACAAGTGGGTGAGACGGAAAGGTGGACTAAAAGAAGCTCGGAAGGTGGCAGTCTGAAAAGAAGAGTGGCAGGGTGGAAGAGAGGCAGGAGGATGAAAGAAAATGTGGGTGGGAGAGTGGTACGGAGGAGGGAGGCTGGGAGCACGGGCGGACGGGAGAAGTGAAGGAGGGAAAGAGAGAGAAAGAGAGGAGGGAGGCATGGAGAGTGGAAGGACGGACAGGAGAAGGCAAATAAGAGGAAGAGGAGGAAGACGGGACGGCTTCCTGCCCCCCCTCCCCCACTCCCCTGCCCCCCTCCCCAACTCCCCTGCCCCGCCTCCCCCACTCCCCCCTCCCTCACTCCCCTGCCACGCCTCCCCCGCTCCCTTGCCCCACCCCCTCGCCCCCTTGTGCACAGCGCTCCTCACTGCCCGCCTGCACGAGCTTCCCCGGCTGTGTGCGGGGTTGGTGCGAGAGTGAGGAGGAGGTTGCTAAGCTTGCTGTGCTGCCATTGGGTTGTGAGTGACACAGCGTGAGGGGCAGGGTGCGTGCTCCTCGACTCGCACCCCATCAGCTTTCATTCTCCCCTAGCCTTCGCACCACGCACCCTCACACACCCCACAGCGAAAAAATCATGACCCCATACCCAGCGCCCAGGCGCCATACATCTCTGCGTTTAGTGTGGGCGAGAAGCAAGGGAGAAGGGAGAATGTGAGAGAATGAGAAGGGTTCAAGTGTGGGGTGGTAACCATGGACGACGGTAGGAGTGGTGAAGGTAGAATAGGGGGAGAGAGAGAGGCGACGTGTGACGAAGAGGGTGAACGTGATAGGCAGGGAAGTGATGACGACGGCGGAGTGTAGGGGAGGGTGGGAGGAAGCGAGGGCGACGGTGGGAGGAAGCGAGGGCGACGGTGGGAGGAAGCGAGGGCGACGGTGGGAGGAAGCGAGGGCGACGGTGGGAGGAAGCGAGGGCGACGGTGGGAGGAAGCGAGGGCGACGGTGGGAGGAAGCGAGGGCGACGGTGGGAGGAAGCGAGGGCGACGGTGGGAGGAAGCGAAAGCGACGGTTGGAGGAAGCGAAGGCGACGGTGGGAGGAAGCAAGGGCGACGGTGGGAGGAAGCGAGGGCGACGGTGGGAGGAAGCGAAAGCGACGGGAGGGGGAGCGTGGTCAACGACGGAGTAAAGTGTGAGCGACAGCTGGAGGAAGCGAGGGCGACGGTGGGGGGAAGCGTGGGGGACGGCGACGGCGACGAGGGGAAGCGTGGGTGGCAGGGTGTGACGTCGACTAGGAAGCGCGGGAGGGGAATGTAGCTGAGGCAAACATAGGGCGAATGCGCGGGAAATGACCGCGATCGATCGTTTGATTACCTATTATCGAGCTCGGAGAGGAGATGCATGCGCCGCAAACTGTCGTTTGCGCGGTCGCGCAGGGTTTCGACGACGACGCTGAGTAAAAAGCGGCGCCATCGCATAGAATCTGTTTGGTGTTTTTTTTTTTTTTTCCGGTGGATTGGGCTCCAGCTCTATTGGCTTTCTGCTCTACCTAGGAGTTTCACGTGACTACTATGTGGTCGAGCATGACCTGAATTACAACAATTTCCAATCTGTACACAGCTTGCCTTGCCCTACTCCCTTCAGGAGGGAGCGGTTGGGACTCTCGCCAACCAATTTTGGGCTTACGACTCTCTGCAGTTTTGCGGGGCGTCATTTGGTAACCAGAGAGGCTCGGGAAGTCAACTGTGGGCTCGGAAGGCAAACTGTGCACAGTTTGCCTTCCTTTTTTTGTAATTCGGGTCTTGGGCTTTAACTGTTTGCATGGGGAAGCACAACCCTTCATAAGCACACTCATGGAGGTTACTTTTATGGTAATGTTGGTACCTCACAATCCACACCTCCGCGTCTTGCATAAATACCATAAGCATCTACAAAATCACGCTCTTTGAGCCAGCAAAGCTTCTGCTGCCCTTCTACCAGAAGCCAATGCTCCATCGAATGTGGGGGAGTGTCAGATTTATATGACATAGCTACTGTAGGCTATAGTGGGGTAGCACATATGGGGTACAGTTTTCTAGGGTTTGCTTTTGTACCCAACTTTTCCTTAGTCAATTCATTCCTCATTTCTTCACATGGTATAGAGCAGGTTCCCTAGTGGGAACGCTTCCTTGGGCCCACCACTGAAACCTTTTTTTTCTGACCGGAGCGACAGTCGCTCCTGCCCGAGGCGCGCCTTGTGGGCCGCCCTTCTGTCGAGCTCTCTTAGAGGCCCCTCTCACGGCCCCTCGCGCCACCCTTAGCGGCCCCGTCGCCGCCCCTAGCGGCCCCGTTGCCGCCCTTCCAGGCCCCTTGCGGCCCCTAGCGGCCCCATTGCCGCCCCTACGCGGCCCCGTAGCCGCCCCTAGCGGCCCTGTCGCCGCCCTTAGCGGCCCCGTTGCCGCCTCCCTCCCTACGCGGCCCCGTTGCCGCCCCTACGCGGCTCCGTCGCCGCCCCTAGCGGCCCCGTCGCCGCCCCTACGCGGCCCCGTCGCCGCCCCTAGCGGCCCCGTAGCCGCTCCCCTCCCTACGCGGCCCCGTCGCCGCCCCTACGCGGCCCCGTCGCCGCCCCTACGCGGCCCCGTTGCCGTCCCTAGCGGCCCCGTCGCCGCCCCTAGCGGCCCCGTCGCCGCTCCCCTCCCTACGCGGCCCCGTAGCCGCCCCTACGCGGCCCCGTCGCCGCCCTTACGCGGCCCCGTCGCCGCCCCTAGCGGCCCCGTCGCCGCTCCCCTCCCTACGCGGCCCCGTCGCCGCCCCTACGCGGCCCCGTCGCCGCCCCTACGCGGCCCCGTCGCCGCCCCTAACGGCCCCGTCACCTCCTCCCTCCCTACGCGGCCCTGTCGCCGCCCCTACGCGGCCCCGTCGCCGCCCCTAGCGGCCCCGTCGCCGCCTCCCTCCCTACGCGGCCCCGTCGCCGCCCCTACGCGGCCTCGTAGCCGCCCCTACGCGGCCCCGTCGCCGCCCCTAGCGGCCCCGTCGCCGCTTCCCTCCCTACGCGGCCCCGTTGCCGCCCCTACGCGGCCTCGTAGCCGCCCCTACGCGGCCCCGTCGCCGCCCCTAGTGGCCCCGTCGCCGCTCCCCGCCCCTAGCGGCCCCGTCGCTGCCCCTACCCGGCCCCGTCGCCGCCCCTAGCGAGCAGCCGAGCCGCCGAGCCGCCCAGCAGCTGAGCCGCCGAGTCGCCCAGCAGCCGAGCCGCCCCTGGAGCAGCCGCCACTGCAGCAGCCGCCCTTGGAGCAGCCGCCACTGCAGCAGCCGCCCCTGGAGCAGCCGCCACTGCAGCAGCCGCCCCTGGAGCAGCCGCCACTGCAGCAGCCGCCCCCGGAGCAGCCGCCACTGCAGCAGCCGCCCCTGGAGCAGCCGCCTCTGGAGTAGTCGCCCCTACAACTGCCGCCCCTGGAGCAGCCACCCCTGCAGCTGCCGCGGAGCTCTCGCTCTACAGTGGTAGCGGCCTCGCCGTTGCCGCCGTCGTACGCCTGCCCTTCTCGCCACTGGTGAGCACTGCCCTGCCCGTACTGCTGTTACTGCTGCTCTTACTGCTGCTGCTCTTTCTACTGCTACTGCTGCTCCTGGCGTAGCCAGATGCGGCTCCAGCGTCGCCCGCGTGAGTCCCTCACCCCCCAACAGCTTCGTGCGTGGTACGCTGGTTGGGGTTGTCGGGGTGGCCGTAGTGGGAGTCGTCCTGGAGTGAGTAGTTCCACAGCTGCTTGTAGTGGCCAGGTGCAGCTGCAGCGTCGCCCGCGTGAGTCCCTCACCCCCCAACAGCTTCGTGAGTGGTACGCTAGTTGGGGTTGTCGGGGTGGCCGTAGTGGGAGTCGTCCTGGAGTGAGTAGTTCGGCAGCTGCTTGTAGTGGCCAGGTGCAGCTTCAGCGTCGTCCGCGAGCAGTCCTTTCGCCCCAGCAGCTTCGTGAGTGGTACGCTCAGCGTGACGGGTCACGGGGTACTGCTCGCTGTCCGTACGTCATTCGCACTGGTGCTCGGACTGGTCAGCCTTGCGGGACGTTGGGTCACGCAGAGTCCCGCTGCTTCGCCCGTCTGAGCGACGCCTGGCGTACGGACTTTGGCGACGCGGCTGAGCTCCCCGACTGGGTGGAGCTGCTTCGGCTGCGGGTAGATATCTATACTCTTGATTATGATGCTATCCTCACTGCCATGTATGCATTGCCTACTAGTGATGAGGGTGACTGTTACCTGTGTGTTCCGCCTGACCCGGGCATTGAGGCTGCTGCTCTAGGTGCTGGTGAGGCTGCTGCTCCAGGTGCTAGTGCGTCTGCTGCCCCAGGTGCTGGTGAGTCTGCTCTCTCAGGTACCACGTCGTCTCAGGCCTTACACACCTTCACTCTTGACTCGGGTGCTTCCCGCTCCTTCTTTCGAGACCGCACCACGCTTACGCCGCTCAGTCGGCCGGTTGCGGTCTCCCTGGCAGACCCCTCTGGGGGTCCTGTCCTTGCTCACTTCTCCACTGTCCTCCCGTGTCCGGCGGCCCCCTCTGGCACCCTGTCTGGTCTTTACCTCCCCTCGTTCTCTACGAACTTGGTGAGTGGTGCTGACCTACAGGATGCGGGGGTTCACCAGTTCACTCCTGCGAGTCAGCGGGTGACCCACTGCACGGACGCTCGGACAGGCCGACACGTGGCCACGTTTACACGTCGGCCGGGGTCGAGCCTGTACACACTGACCACTGCGTCTCCTCCAGTCACTGCGTCTGGTCAGGTAGCTGCGTCGGGTCAGGTGTTTGCTGCAGCGTCCAGGTCTGGTCCTGAGTCTGCCCCCTGTTCGTGTCGCCTCCTGTCTCACGAGACTCTCCTCTGGCACCACCGCCTTGGTCACCCCTCCCTGCTTCGTCTCCGAGGCATGGCCTCCCGTGTCCTTGTCTCTGGTCTTCCCCGGTCCCTCCCTCCCCTTCCTCCGGGGCCTGGCCCTACCTGCGTCCCCTGTGTCGAGGGGCGGCAGCGGGCTGCCCCTCACTCCTCCCAGTTTCCTCCGACAGAGGCCCCGCTGCAGACGCTTCACATGGACGTGTGGGGCCCGGCCCGCGTCCGTGGACAGGGTCACGAGCGCTACTTCCTGCTGGTGGTTGACGACTACTCGCGTTACACCACAGTCTTCCCCTTGCGCAGCAAGGGTGATGTCACTGAGGTGTTGATCGACTGGATCCGCGCAGCTCGTCTCCAGCTCAGGCAGAGCTTCGGCTCGGACTTTCCTGTTCTGCGTCTGCACTCTGACAGAGGTGGAGAGTTCTCCTCTGGCCTTCTGCGAGCCTACTGTCGTGCACGAGGCATCCGCCAGACCTTCACGCTTCCGGACTCTCCACAGCAAAATGGGATTGCTGAGCGCCGCATTGGCATGGTCATGGACGTCGCCCGTACGTCCATGATGCATGCGGCTGCCCCCCATTTTCTGTGGCCGTTTGCGGTTCGGTACGCGGCGCATCAGATCAACCTTCACCCCAGGGTCTCCATGCCGGAGACCTCCCCAGCCTTGCTGTGGACGGGGAAGGTTGGCGATGCATCTGCGTTCCGTGTCTGGGGATCTCGGGCGTTTGTCCGCGACTTGTCTGCGGACAAGCTGTCCCCTCGTGCTGCTCCTTGCGTCTTCCTTGGCTTCCCCCCTGACGCGCCAGGGTGGCAGTTCTACCACCCCACCTCTCGCCGTGTTCTGTCCTCCCAGGACGTCACGTTTGACGAGTCGGTCCCCTACTACCGCCTCTTCCCCTACCGCACTCCGTCCCTCCCCCCGCCACCACTCTTCCTTGTACCAGGTCCCCCCCCGGTAGACCCCCTCCCCCCTCAGGGTCCTGCCCCTTCAGGTGTATCCCAGGTAGACACAGTCGAGCCTGTCGAGGTTACTGGTGACTCTGGTGCTGCTGAGGGTGCTGAGCCTGGGGGTGCTGACTCTGGGGGTGCTGAGCGTGTGGGTGCTACGCCTGGGGGTGCTGAGCCTGAGGGTGCTACTACTGGGGGTCCTGAGCCTGGGGGTGCTACTACTGGGGGTGCTGAGCCTGGGGGTGCTGAGCCTGGGGGTGCTACGCCTGGGGGTGCTGAGCCTGGGGGTGCCACGCCTGGAGGTGCTGAGCTTGGGGGTGCGGAGCCTGAGGGAGCTGGGCCTACTCGTGTGGCGTCTGGCGGTGCTGAGCCTGGAGGTTCTCCGGGTGCTTCGTCTCGGCGGGAGCCACTCTCTCCACAGGAGCTGCGCGAGTGGTTTGCCCGGCGCTGGAGGCGTGCTGCTGGAGCTGGAGGTTCTTCGGCTGCTGAGGGTGCTGGTGCCGCGGGTCCCGGAGGTGCTCGTACTGGGAGTACTGGAGCTGCTGGGCCTGCGGGTACGACTGGAGCTGGAGCTGCTGAGGGTGTTGGCGCTGAGGCTACTGCTGTCGGTCCTGGAGGCGGTCCTGCTGGGGGTGCTACTGGTGCTGCTGGAGGTACTGGAGCTGGAGGTGCTGCTGGCGCTGGTGCTGCCGCTGGGGGTACTGGTGCTGTCCCTGCTGTGTCTGGAGTCGCCGCGCGGCCTAGGCCGTACTTCGTTCCGCTCCTTCAGCAGGTTCTTGGTCTCCCGCCTTCTACGGGTCCTCCTCCTCCCTTCGAGTGTCCACAGCCTGTCCCGTCACAGTTACAGTTACAGCCGGCCTCCCCACTGCCCGCTCCTTCTCCCTACACTGGTCCTACTGGAGGTCTTGCTGAGCGTCGTGAGCCTGCGTCTCGCCCTGCGTCGCCTGTCCGTGCTGCTCGCACTAGTGGTCGTGGTTCGCGTCAGCGTCCTCCTCCTGTCCCTGGCACGCACCGGATGTCTCTGCGTCCGTCCACTGCTCCTCTGCGTGCCCCTTTGCCTTCTCCTCCTGAGTCCTCTCTTCCTGCTCTTCCTGACCCGGAGTCGGACTCTCTTCGTGCTGCCAGTCCTACTGTCACGCGTCTCCTTGCTACTGTTGTCACTGACCCTTCCTTTGAGTCCACTGCTGCGTCTGCCCTAGTTACTGAGCTCGTCGACTTTGCTGCTCGCTGTCGTCTAGACTACGCTGCTAGTCTTGTTGCTGAGTCTGAGTCTGTCTGTCCTCCGTCCGTCGGGGGTGAGTGTGCCCTTGGCACGGACGTCCTTGAGGACAGGCAGGAGGAGTTCCAGTGTTTGGCTGCTGCTTCACCTCATCTCGTGTCCGTACTGCTTACCCTTGAGGGAGACCCGGATGCACTTGACATCCCGACTCCGCGCTCTTACGCGGAGGCGATAGAGGGTCCCTACTCCTCTCAGTGGCAGGCAGCTATGGACGCAGAGATGGCTTCCTGGAAGTCCACAGGCACCTACGTTGACGAGGTTCCCCCGCCTGGGGCGAACATCGTCAGTGGCATGTGGATTTTCAGGGTGAAGCGGCCGCCGGGTTCTCCGCCTGTCTTCAAGGCGCGTTACGTGGCTCGTGGCTTCAGTCAGCGGCAGGGAGTTGACTACTTTCAGACCTTCTCTCCCACCCCGAAGATGACCACTCTTCGGGTACTGCTGCACATAGCTGCTCACCGCGACTACGAGCTGCACTCTCTTGACTTCAGCACTGCTTTCTTGCAGGGCAGCCTGCACGAGGAGATCTGGCTGCGTCGCCCACCTGGCTTCACTGGGTCTTTTCCTCCTGGCACCCAGTGGAGCCTCCGGCGGCCAGTCTACGGTCTCCGCCAGGCACCGTGTGAGTGGCACGACACACTGAGGACTACACTTGCGGCTCTTGGGTTTGCTCCCTCTACTGCCGACCCGTCGCTGTTTCTGCGCACCGACACTTCTTTGCCGCCGTTCTACATCCTCGTGTACGTCGACGACTTGGTCTTCGCCACAGCTGACACTGCTGGACTCGCCCACGTGAAGTCCGAGCTGCAGAAGAGACACACGTGCACAGACCTGGGTGAACTGCGCAGCTACCTTGGCTTGCAGATCACCCGGGACAGAGCACGCCGCACCATTACCCTGACTCAGTCACACATGGTGCAGCAGGTCCTTCAGCGCTTCGGCTTCACGTACTCCTCGCCTCAGGCCACTCCTCTGCCTACTCGCCACTCGCTCTCAGCTCTGCCTTCGGATGAGTCCGTAGAGTCGAGTGGCCCGTACCCAGAGCTTGTTGGCTGCCTCATGTACCTGATGACCTGCACACGACCTGACCTTGCATACCCTCTTAGCATTCTTGCACGCTATGTTGCTCCTGGGAGACACAGACCGGAGCACATGGCTGCAGCGAAGAGGGTGTTGCGCTACTTGTGCAGTACGTCGGGCATGGGGCTTGTGCTTGGAGGGCAGAGTCCAGTGGTCCTCACTGGGCACGCAGACGCTTCTTGGGCTGACGACCAGGCTACGCAGCGGTCGTCACTGGGTTACACCTTCAGCCTTGGTTCCGGCTCTGTTTCGTGGCGGGCTACCCGCTCGTCTTCTGTTCTCGGCTCCAGTTGTGAGGCTGAGATCTACGCCGGGGCCATGGCTGCACAGGAGCTTCGCTGGCTCACCTACCTGCTGACTGACCTCGGAGAGCCGCCTCGTTCTCCTCCAGTGCTGTACGTAGACAACAAGGCCATGCTGGCCTTGTGTCGAGAGCAGAGACTGGAGCACAGAACGAAGCACATTGCTCTCCGCTACTTCCTTGCTCGTGAGCTACAGCAGCGTGGTCAGCTGCGGCTTGCGTACGTGGCCTCTCAGGCCAACACTGCTGATATCTTCACCAAGGCACTTGCGCCTTGTGATCATCAGCGCTTCTGTACTTAGCTGGGTCTTGTGCCTACCTTGCCTCACTTGCTCACCCCTTGACCTTGTTTGTACTGTTGCATGTATATATATACATATATACACCTGCTCTTGCTTGTCTAGCCTTATATATATATGTAATCCTGCATGTGAACTGGCCTTGTGGCCTTGAACTTGTGCTCGGAATGTGTGGTGACTTTGTGATCCACCCTGAGCTTGCTTTGCTTTGCTTGACTGGTCTTGTGACCCCTTGTTCTCCCCCACTTTGCCTATGGGGGTGTGTCAGATTTATATGACATAGCTACTGTAGGCTATAGTGGGGTAGCACATATGGGGTACAGTTTTCTAGGGTTTGCTTTTGTACCCAACTTTTCCTTAGTCAATTCATTCCTCATTTCTTCACAGGGAGCTCTTATGATCCCCGCACACATACACTCCCTCCCTCCCCCCCACTTCCACTTCCCCAGAGAAGTCTGTAGGAGGCCTTTGCCCTGGTTGAGCGAACGGAATCCTGTAGACCCGGAGCATCTTCCAACCCTCCACTTCCTCCTTCCCGAACCAGCCCGCCAGCTCCGTACGCACCCGAGCCTCGAGTTCTGCTCCGCTCCGGTCCTCATAGGCTCCTACAAGGGACACCGAGACCAGTGTCTTGCCGGGCGGAGCATAGGAAGGGGACACTACACTGGGGAAGCAGAGGTTGTTGACAATGCCGCTACCGGAGCCATTTAAAAAGAGGATGGGCTCGGCAACAGGGGGAGGGGAGTCGGACGCAAAGTAGAGACAAACTGTGCTGCGGGGCTCTTGATTGGCCGAAGCAGAAGTGCTGCTAGCTGTGTCATCGCCGCTGCTGCTGCTGCTGCTGCTGTCGCTACCGCCCTCCCCTAGAAGCAACCTCTGAGCCACTGGTTGCTCTACTGCCACTATCACCCCTCCCTTGGCCAATATCCTCTTCCCATCCTGCATCGTCAGCAGGCTCGGCACACCCGAACCAGCTTCCGAACCTTTGCTATCGGCTTCGTCGGTGGGAACAACAGGAGAGATGGAGGAGACGGGGGAGTTGAGGCGGATGGAGTCGGAGGGGAGGCGAGAGGCAAGGTGAGAGGCGAGGGCTCCGATGCCGGATGAGGGGAGGGTGTTGGGTGCGAGGGCTAGCATGCGAAACACAAACTCCATTAACCTGGGATGGAAGGGAGGAGAGAGAGGAGTGCGTGGAGTATATCAGTGGGCTCCGATGCCGGATGAAGGGAGGGTGTTGGGTGCCAGGGCGAGCATGCGAAGCACAAACTCCATCAACCTGGGAGAGTTGTGGGAGGGGAGGGAGGAGCATGGGGAATCTGTTAGTGGGAAAGAGAGGCGAGGTGAGAGGCGAGGGCTCTGATGCCAGATGAGGTGAGGGTGTTGGGTGCCAGGGCGAGCATACGAAGGACAAACTCCATCAACCTGCGATGGAGAGGAGGAGAGGGAGGGGGTGAGAACGAAGGTGAAGAGTGAGGAGGGGGGGAGAGTGAGGGAGGAGGGTAGGAGGACTGAATAGAGGAGGAGCTGGTGAGGGAAAAATGGGAGGCGTGGGGGGCGAGAAAACAAGTGAGAGACCAGGGCTTGTATGACGGATGTGGGGACTTTTGAGACGACTCAAAAGAATTCTGGTTAGAGACCAGGGCTTGTATGACGGATGTGGGGACTTTTGAGACGACTCAAAAGAATTCTGGTTAGAGACCAGGGCTTGTATGACGGATGTGGGGACTTTTGAGACGACTCAAAAGAATTCTGGTTAGAGACCAGGGCTTGTATGACGGATGTGGGGACTTTTGAGACGACTCAAAAGAATTCTGGTTAGAGACCAGGGCTTGTATGACGGATGTGGGGACTTTTGAGACGACTCAAAAGAATTCTGGTTAGAGACCAGGGCTTGTATGACGGATGTGGGGACATTTGAGACGACTCAAAAGAATTCTGGTTAGAGACCAGGGCTTGTATGACGGATGTGGGGACTTTTGAGACGACTCAAAAGAATTCTGGTTAGAGCCTTGGGCGCAACTTTTGAGGCGCCTCAAAAGCAGGGAGACAGAAGACTATCTTTGAGGCGCCTCAGAAGCAGGGAGACAGGAGACTATCTTTGAGGCGCCTCAGAAGCAGGGAGACAGAAGACTATCTTTGAGGCGCCTCGGAAGCAGGGAGACAGAAGACTATCTTTGAGGCGCCTCAAAAGCAGGGAGACAGAAGACTATCTTTGAGGCGCCTCAGAAGCAGGGAGACAGGAGACTATCTTTGAGGCGCCTCAGAAGCAGGGAGACAGAAGACTATCTTTGAGGCGCCTCAGAAGCAGGGAGACAGAAGACTATCTTTGAGGCGCCTCAGAAGCAGGTGAGAGACCAGGGCTTGTATGATGGATGTGTGGAGGGCCTTGGGTGCAAAGGGCAATCATTTCCAACATTACCAAACACACAAAAAGGATACACTGACTTATGTCATCAGGACGACAAAGGTATCTTACAGGGACTAACAGAGGTGCGAGAGAATACCTAGACGAAGTGCTGAGCTCGTTGTCAAAGAAGATCCCCCCGAGAAAGGGGCGAAAGAATCGGTCAATCATCTGGGATAGAGGAATCAATGGGAGGGGAGAGGGAAACTTGAGAAAGGAGGAAAGGGGCCAAGGATGCAAGGAAGGGAGAAGGCGTTGTGAATAGTAGGTGGGATCGGGCTAACGTGCTGAGCTCTCATTGTGAAAGAAAATCCCTCCGAGAAATGGACGGAAGAATCAGTCAATCATCTGGCATGGGCGGATCGGCACGGGAGTCAGCAAAAAAGAGGCCAAACAGGAGGAGAGGGAAGGTTGAGAACGGAGGAAAGAATGGAAAGAATCCTTCCTTCGGGAGTAGGTAAGCTCCATCATGAGGGGGTAGTTGTTGTGAACATCAGGGGAACCCCTGCTTGCTATTCTCAACTACTTCTCAGCTGCTGTGAGAATGGCATGCACGAGAATGTTAACGAAGACTTGGTGCACTATGTAGAGTTGAGAGTCGAGGTGGGTCAAGTCGAGTGGCAAAAGTACGTACCTCATTGGAGAACCCTTGCTTCTTCAATGCCTCTTCAATGCTGCTCTCCGGCGCTGAAAGAATGCCTTCTACGGGCGTGGACACGGCTTTCAGACGCAGCAGCCCCACACGCATTTTATCAAAGACAGAGCCAATAGGGTTGAAGAGAGAGCCGAGGCCGTCTGATGTGTGGCGGAAGGGGTCTGCCACCCTGGGAGGGAGGGGGAACGGGGGGTGGGGGAGTGGTAGCTCTGAAGTAGAAGGGCCTGGGCATGAGTAGGAGTAGAGAGGGTCTTCTTGATTGCTTGAAACGCATGAGATAGTCCCTCTCACCTGTGCAAGTAGCCCACCTCTCACCTGTGCAAGTAGCCCACCTCTCACCTGTGAAAGGCACCTCCGAAACACACAAGAGCGCCCGAGTAGAAAGGCATGAGGCTCACGTCGGAAAAAGTGAAGCGCAGTTCCCCACCAGCGCCCCCCTCCCCCCCCTCTCCCCCTGTGCAGGCAAGTTGCCCCCCTATGAAAGGTCTCCTACCTGAATCACCCCCACGAGCCTCACCTGTGGAAGGAGCCTCCAAACCACACGAGGGCGCCCGAGTAGAAAGGCCTGAGGTTCGCCCTTCTATCTGAACTAACCCCACAAGCCTCCAAACACCGCCACGAGCTTCACCTGTGGAAGGAGCCTCACCTGTGGAAGGAGCCTCCAAACCACACGAGAGCGCCCGAGTAGAAGGGCCTGAGGTCCAACGCCTCGTAGTCCATCACCTGCTGTGCCTCGGGGTAGGCTGGAAGAGGAGCGAACGGGAGATGGGGAGTAAGATGGAAGGTAAAAGGAAGGGAGACGAGGGAGAGTGAAGGGACGGGAAGGGAGGGGCGGGAGATGGAAGCATCTGAGTAGAAAGGCCTGAGGTCCAACGCCTCGTAGCCCATCACCTGCTGTGCCTCGGGGTAGGCTGGGGGGGCGGTTAGAGAGGGGTGAGATAGAATGAAGGGAGAGGGAGGACGGTGAAGGGATGAGTGTGGAAAAAGGAGCGCCAGAGTAGAAGGGCATGAGGTCCAACGCCTCGTAGCCCATCACCTGCTGTGCCTCGGGGAAGGCTGGAGGAGAAGGGAAAGAGAAGGGATGAGATGGACGGTAACAGGAAAGGAGGAAGCACGAGAGTGGGAGGGCGCTAAAGGAGAGAATGGGGTGGGACAAAGGGAGCGAGCGCCTGATTAGAAGGGCCTGAGGTCCAACGCCTCGTAGTCCATCACCTGTTGTGCCTCGGGGTAGGCTGGGGGGTGGGAGATAACAGATGAGAGAGAAACAAGGAGAAGGAAAGAGAGAATGAGAAGGAGAAGGAGGAGCAGGGAGGAAACACACGAGAGCGCCTGAGTAGAAAGGCCTGAGGTCCAGCGCCTCGTAATCCATCACCTGCTGTGCGTTGGGGTAGGCTGGTTGGTGGTAGGAATGGGGGTTGGGGAGTATGATAGTAGGTAGAAGGAGGGGAGAGGGAGGATGTGAAGGGAAGGGAGGGGAGTGGGAATGGGAGTGCTGGAATAGAACGGAATGAGGCTCATTGCCTTGTAGTCCAGCACCTGCTGTGCCTCGGGGTAGGCTAGAAGAGGGGAGCGGAGGGCAGAAGGGTAACAGGAATGAATGATAAGGCAGGAGAATGAATGAACTGCCCGTCTCACCTGAGGTTGCATGCGCGCCTGTCCGAGGAGTATGTATGAAATCAAGTCCCCCTACATGAGAGGAAGATCTGGAAGCCCTGGTCGAGCAGGAAGCCACCAACTGCATCCTCGGTCGAGCAGGAACCCGTCCAGTGTGTCGGTGGGCACACGCCCCCCCACCCCATCTGAAGCCCCTGCTGCTACTGCAGCCCGGATCAGACCCCATAGAGAGTCTCTCTCACCTGAGCGCCTGGCTCGGCCTACCTGAGAGGAAGATCTGGAAGCCCCGGTCGAGCAGGAACCCGTCCAGTTCGTTGGTGGGCACACGTCCCCCCACCCCCTCTGAAGCCTAGCCGCGGTCGTACCTGGGGGAGGTACACTCCCACCCCTCCTACCTGAGAGGAAGATCTAAAAGCAGCAGTCGAGCAGGAATCCGTCCACTTCATCAGTGTGCTGCGCACGCGCCCTCCCACCCCGTCTGACCTGAGGAAGCATGCACGTCCGCCCGAGGTGCATGTATGGCTCGTACCTGAGAGGAAGATCTGGAAGCCTCGATCCAGCAGGAACCCGTCCACTTTATCAGTGCGCACGCGCCCTCCCACCCCGTCTGACGCCTCCAGCACCACACACGTGTGCTTTGAGTCGACTCAAAGCACTCCTGAGGAGGTACGAACGCATAAGGTGGTACCCGAGGGGAAGATCTGAAAGCTGCGGTCGAGGAGAAACATGTCCAGCTATTCAGTGCGCACGCATGGGCCCTCCCTCCCACCCCGTCAGTGGCTCACACCTGGAAGGAAGTCAGCAGTCCTGCGTGGGAGAGGAGAGGTGCCCTCGGCCCTCTCGTACCTGAGAGGAAGATCTGAAAGCCGCGGTCGAGGAGGAACCCGTCCACTTCATCAGTGCGCACGCGGCCCCCCACGCCGTCTGCAGCCTCCAGCAAAACACACGCTGTTGCTGCTGCTGCTGTCACCCAGACCAGACACCACGGAGAGGCTCACCTGAGAGGAAGATCTGAAAGCCCCGGTCGAGCAGGAACCCATCAACTTTATCAGTGCGCACGCGACCTCCCACCCCGTCTGCCGCCTCCAGCACCACACACGCCACCCCCGCCTCCTGCAGAGCCACCGCTGCCCGCAGCCCTGCAAGTCCTGCTCCAATAATCACCACGTCCAGCTCCTCGGGGGGCTCCGAGGGTGTGGAATGGAGAGAGGGAAGAGAGAGAGGGACCGTTTGAGGGAGTGCAAGGGTGAACGCCCGTCCGCTGCCTCCAGCACCACACACACCACCCCCGCCTCCTGCAGCGCTACCGCTGCTCGTAGCCCTGCGATTCCTGCTCCGATTATCACCACGTCCAGCTCCTCGGGGGGCTCTGTGGGTGTGGAATGCAGAGGGAAAGTGAGAGAAGAGAAGAAGTAAACGAGGGACTGAAAGGGCTGAACGCCCGTCTGAAGCCTCCAGCACCACACACGTCACCCCCGCCTCCTGTAGAGCTACTGCTTCCCGCAGCCCCGCCAGCCCTGCTCTGGTTATCACCGCGTCCAGCTCCTCGGGGGCTCTGGGAGGAGGATAAGGTAGGGTGAGAGAGTGAGAGAAGAGGAGGTGAGCAGAAGTGGGAGTGAGAGGGAGTGAAAGAGGGAGTTCAAGGATCAACGTCCGTCGCATCCAGCAGCACCACACACGCCTCCCCCGCCTCCTGCAGTGCCACATGTAACGAGCCATGACCTGGCCTTCCTTGTATTCTGAGTCAGTTTCTGTGGCTTCCATTATTTTCTCCTTCTGTGAACACCAACTTTCCTTCCGCGACATTTCCTTCCGAAACTCGTCTTCACCCCGTAGATGACTATGCTTGTTTCTTCCTTGTAAGCACACCAGCTGACCTTCCTGGACTACTTCAGGCTCCGCTTCCGCGGCATTCTCATCCGAAGATCCCTCGCTCTCTGCCTCCAAACTCGTCTTCACCCCTTGTATGATCACTCTTGTTCCTTCCTTATGAGCACACCAACTGACCTTCCTTGACCGCTTCTGGCTCCGGCTCTGTCACATGCTCTTCCGAAACCCCCTCACTCTGAATCTCCAAACTCGTCTTCACCCCGTAGATGATTATGCTTGTTTCTTCCTTATAAGCACACCAACTGACCTTCCTGGACTACTTCAGGTTACGGTTCCGTGACATTCTCTTCCGAAGCTCCCTCACTCTCAATCTCCGAACTCGTCTTCACCCCTTACATGACTATGTTTGTAACATCCCTAAAAGCACACCAACTGACCTTCTTTGACCACTTCTGGCTCCGGTTCTGACACATTTTCCTCTGAAGCTCCCTCGCTTTCAACCTCCAAGCTCGTCTTCACCTCCGTCTCTCCCTTCTTTCCGAACAATCCGTCCAGAATCGGCAGCTTCAGCCATCCGAAAATGCTGGGGCTTTCTGGGATCGCATCATTGGTCGAATTGTCGGAACTCCCAGCGCTGCTGGCACGCACGACACGTATGCAACGTGGCTCGCGACGTGGCTGACGTGGCAGTTGCAAGAAGGGGACTGCGTTGCGCAGCGGCGAAGAACGCGCAGCGAGTAACGATTGGTGTACCGAGGCTCGTGCTGACGTGGAGGCGGTGCTAAATGGCCTTGACACGTGACGGTCTATTGCATTGCCTGGACTTATGGCTGCTGTTTGAGCAGCCGAGCAGGCAGCGCGAACGGCAGCCATTATTTCTTGCAGGAGAGCAAGGACTAGACGTGAGGAAACCAGGGAATATGAGGCAGTAATGTCAGACTGACAAGCTGTTCATTGAAACAAGAACCAGCCTGCTTTTCCTTGATTGCTGATGTGTCTAAGAGTCTCGACTAGAATTCCCCGATGCCGAATTTCAGACATTGAAATTCCAGCATCTGCAAACTTCGGGAATCAGGAATGGGTATAGAGCGGTGGAAAACTGTAAATAAGCGATTGCGAGTGGTGAAAGGGACTCTAGTTTGACCTCGAAGTTGCCGTGTTTCATTACCATCCACTCGTCACTTTCCCTGTTGGAATCTCCTCGTGGTTCTAAGGCTGACGCGTGTTGGCCTCTGGATGGATTGGCCACGTATTCAAGATCTTCAGCTTCTACTTCAACTTTATAGCAGATGTGTTTTGCAGTGTACACAGCACACTGCGTAAAGGAGCTGGTTATAGCGGATCGGCATGTAAAAGCACCCGCCAGGCACGAGCTCGCATGTGGCTTGCAGTTCACTGGCTGCCACTTCGCCAACCACCATTGGTTGGGAGCTTCCAAAATCGTCCAAAACCACTGGAGTCGATTCCCATTTGCAGAAAATATGCCACGCAAGATTGCAATTTGGCTCACTCACTACACGCAGCAAGCACAAATTCCAAGGCCCAAATCCAATAACAAGATTCCCGAAGCATGTCAATAACGAAGACCTCGCCTTGCCACCAGCTTTTGCCCAACCACCCTAGCAAGCACGTTCACCTTTCGCGCATTCCTTCACTTCCCCTCCCCACTCCCCGTTTCGCCCTTTCTTTCCCTTCCGCCATCACACCTCATTCCCCCGCCACAGAATTCCCCTTCCCTATCTTTCCCCTCAGATCATGTCCCATGCGCTAGTCTGTCGGTCCAATGTGGTGCACAATGGTGCAAGTCGATAATACAACATCACCGCTCTAAATCGTGAGGTAAAGTATTGAACCGCTAAACACGTACAGTATTTGAATGGTCTCTCCTCTTCAGCATCCCTTCCAATCCAACCCGTGTTTCTGCTTCTTGGGGCCCACTCTTTTCCAGCAGCCTTTCTTACCCTAGTGCCTCCCGCGCAGAGCTTCTAGGTTCCTGCTTCTTGAAGGCCAGGCCTATCTTGAAGCTTGCGCGGTTTCTGGATCATCGTGATCCGGTTCCTCCTTCGCCTGCGTGCCCTTAGACACGCGCTAGGGCTTGCATTAAGCGGAGCAGTCCTTAAAACCCATCTCATTTTTCTTAGCACAGAGAAATAGCCATGTGGAGGCAAGCCGGTGCGCGCCTGTCGCTGGTTGCGCGCCAGTCGCTTCAGCGCAGCCGCTCCGCCGCGCTCCCCGCATGGAATAGCCTTGTTGCGGAGAGTGCGCCGGCTGGTGCGGGCCGGAGCGTCACAGACAGGCTCGTTCACAGCGGCTGGCTCTCCCAGACCCCCTTCGCCCTCCGCGCCGCCTCCCCCGCAGGTTAGGGTTAGGTTCGAAAAAAAAAAAAAAAAAAAGATAAAGCTTCATAACCAGATTCTTTCGTTTAAGATCTCTTAGTCAAGTTGGGTGCTAGAAGAGTATTGCGAGCTATGGCTATAGATCTCGACCTAATCCTAATTTTCCACTGGAATATCTTATTAAATTCATAAAATGCAGTGGCCACCAAGGACGTGTCCGATGAGCTGGAGCATGCTACTGGACTTGAGAGGGAGGAGCTGGCTGCTGAGCTGGAGGTATGCCATTTTAGACATTAATAGAAAACAATATATGTACGATCCATTGTAGTAAGTCTCATATTTTGACAGGGGGGAGCTGGCTGCTGAACCGGAGGTAGGATAAGGCTGATAATTATCCGGGGAAGTTGTCTTTTATTTTATTTTTTCCTGCCAGTGCGTTACATTTCAAGTTACGTGCTGTCTCTGCTGTACGTCAACCTCGTTTGGTTTTTTTGTTTGTTTTAGATTTTTTTTTTTTTTCGTTTTCCATGGGAAAAAAATAGGTTCTTGATCCTAGATCGGGCAAGTCTGCTCGTATTCTGTTTTGTCTCATTTTTTATCTCACTCTGACGCTTATCGTTGCGAGAGATTTCTTAAAAGCTTGCTAGCCGTTTATGGTCTCCCTTCTCCACTGCAGGGAAAGGAGCGGTTTGAAGTGGAGCCTCCTCGCGGACCCTTCGGAACAGAGGTACTTTGGAGGAACCTGTTATGGGGCTTTCGAGGAGTCCCCGTTTTCACCATTTCAGTGCTTCATTGAAAGGCTTACAATGACACAACGATTCGCTCCCTGGAATGCCCATCTTCCTTGATGTTGTACACACTAGCTCTCGGCGAACCTCTTTGAGAAACTGATGGGATCCGCGCGTAGCTTACACACTCGACCGTGCTCTTTTATTTTGCACGACATTTCATGATGGCTCGTCCGTGTATCGAAATCTTTTTTTGTTTTTTTCGTCTTGATCTTGCTCTTTTGGATCCAACCCCGACTGTGCTCAGGATGCTCCTGCGATTGTGGAGGCTCAGTTCGACGAGCGTCTCGTTGGCTGCTCTGGCGGGGTTGGCGGTGAGTGTTTCTACAAGTGACGGCCTTTTTGGGTCACCTGTTGACCCCGTCCATCACTTCGCCCTCATTCCCTTTTCGCATCCTCGTCCCTCACCCTCATCCTGCTCTCTTCACATTTTGAAGATGTGGTTTGCCTCGAACTGACTAAGGCCTCGCTTATCATTCGGCACCAAATGATTGACTCCGTCGTTCAACCCTTCTAAGGCGCCAAAACACTTGGGACTTTACGTCCAGCCGTTCTTTTGCTCAGTGCCCTGAACAGTCTGTGCATAACTTGACCGCCTGCTAACACCTGGACAGAGGAGCATGATGTGGGCCTGGTTCTAGCTCTCGAAGGACTTTACTCCCTCTGCACTCCATTCCTGTCCCTCTCCATTTTCTTTCAACCTATCCGTTTTCCAAAACCGGACAGATGAGAATCACGACATAGTTTGGTTCAATCTTTCAGCTTGAGTGTAACTTCTTAAGGCCCTCCAACCTCTCTTCCATTTTTATCAACCCTTCCAACCCTTCCAACCCCTTTTGTTCTGGTTTTCCTTTCACCCGGACAGAGGAGGAGCATGATGTGGTGTGGTTCAAGCTCTCAAAGGACTCCAACCACTCCTGCAGCGTCTGCAGCCAAGTCTTCAAGGTAGCAACAGATGCAGAGGCGGTTTTGTTTACTTGAGTCCTCCATCTTTTCTGATCTCCATTCCCTTCTCTTGGTACTGTTTACTGTTCTCGTTTATGCGTCTTCTTGAATTTGTTTGTCATCCTTGTTTTAAGATGATTTTTCAACTCAACTGATTTTCCAAGTGCCTTGAATTGAAACACTTGCACCTTTTAAGTTCTCCCAGGCCACCACCTCTGGCTTGTTTCTTGGCACTGCCCACTAATGATCCATTATTATCCTACTCGTCATTCCCTCTTCTTTGCCTGCAGCTGAAGGTTGTTGGCCCAGGAGGTATCCCCGGCCACCACCACTGATCGACTTGCTGGCTGTGTGGCTGGCTGGTAACAAGGCACCCCCATGGATCTCGTTGCATTGTGAGGTGACTTTTGAGTCGACTCAAAGGTTATCATGTACTTTGCACGGAGCAGTTGCTGGAAAGATGGAGCAGAGATGAAGGCAATGATCCCTCGATACTAAATTCCGAAAAGGACTGTATTAGGCTTTGTCACATCTGCCTGCCCCTTGCTTGACACATTGTCACTTGTCACCTCTCTCTCACCATCACGCACAATACTCTTTCCGCCCGCCACCAAATTTATCTCCATCCATCTTCCGCCTCATCCATCCACTTGTTTCAGTTTGTAGGACTCAAATTGTCAATAGAGGATTAAACTTGTTCAATTGTAATGAAAGCGCAAATTGGTTTGAATCATTCCTGCAACCCTGCCAAGGTTTTCAACGTGTCTACCTGATTGTGACAAGACTATGAAAGGAGCCTGCAATGCAGTTGTCATTGGTTGGACCCAATCCGATGCACCCATGCACAGGCAGAACCAATTTGGAATGGTTTGCATGTGTAATGGTAAATGCATGTGTCAGAGTATATATGGCAATATAGCCCTTCTGTACTGGGGATAGTCAGGAAATTTTGCAAGATAACGTTGATGTGTTTCTAGTGCAGATAGAGTCAGGTTGGAGACCTGGAGGACGGCAAATGTAAAAAATACAAAAACACTACGCATATTGAGTCATAGAATAGTGAGTGAGACATAGAGGATATAAATGAGATGGAAGAAAGAGGAAGAGAAACAGCAGAGCGACAATCAGACCCTTACAATACAACGCAAATCTACATGAGCAGTAGTGTCATGTGTCTGCATGCCCATCACAAACAAGTCAGTTTTTAGGCACCCTAAGAATGGCATTAGCAGCATAGCAGCATGGTATCTTTCCAAACACCGACACAAAGCTCAAACTTACCACCCATGCGAACATGAGCAGGAGTGTGGAGTGAAGCAACCCTGATCCGAGAGAGAAGAGTGAACCAAAGTATGTTACCTGGTGGTTGTCCTGGTTGTGGTGGTGGTAACAGCACACTTTTCAACAACATGAATCAAGCTTTCACTTACCACCCATGCGATCATGAGCGGGGTGTGGACTCAAGCATCCTTGATCCAAGTGATAGGAGTAGTGGTGGTGGTGGTGGTGACAGCACATTCTTCAACAATCATACACGAATCAAGCTTTCACTTACCACCCATGCGAACATGAGCAGGACCGTGGACTCAAGCACCCTTGATCCAAGTGATATGAGTAGACCCGAGTATATCACCTGGTGGTGAGAAAGGGAAACGAGCAAGAGCAAGAGTGGAAAAAAGACAGACTCCTCTGTACGCTGTTTCAGATGTCATTTACATGAGTAATCTGAGGTGCACTATTTGATGGAAGGAGGGAGAGAGGAGAGAAGCAAAATACTGCTTGAGACTTTTTGGTTTGGGATGTCTCAAAAATCAAGGAATAAGTCAAGTATGTCGCCTGAGGCGAGAAACTGATCTGGTGAACTTTTGCCGATACAGCACTAAGGATTGTGAAAAGAGAATGTAAGAAAAGGCACCGTCTGCAAAAACCACTGGGAGTGGAAAGTGAAACCGCTTTGACGACCATTTACAAGTAGTGTGTGGTCCTTCTTAGACGCCTACTATTATCTAACAGTATTAGAAACACTTACAATCTCCGCTAAGTAGTGTGGGCATGAGACATGAGTGAACCAGTCCCCTTGAGGTATGAAGTAGCCCTTCTTACCCCCTTGCCTCAAACTGGCCTGAACGAGTGAAGGAGGAGGGAGGGAAGCGGGATAGAGGAGGAAAAGTGAAGGAGGGAGCAGGGAGGAACGGAAACGAGTGTGAGCATGAGACATGTGCGTGCCAGACTCCGTTGACTTTTGAGGCGCCTCAAATGTGCGTGCCAGACTCCGTTGAGGGACCAAGTTAGGGATTGCCCTACACTAATACCTATGCGAATACCCCACTTCATCTGGTAGAGTCTGCTTTTGAGAGTCTGCTTAATCCACTCAAAAGCAGATTCATCTGGTAGAGATATAGAAGCACCTTATAATGCAGTGTACCAGGGCGGCATGATATAGGGCTCATCAAAATGGCATGGCAATTGTGCTGGTGCCTATTCCCCCATGCGGATACCCATTGGAGTTTGACGCACTTGGTAGTGGTGCAGTGCGGTACATCAAGATGCACAGTGGCGCTCATCAGAATGGCATGGCATCTGTGCTGGATTAGATTGCCCCATCCCATGCGATCAATATTCACTGAACCTTGAGACACCTCAGGGTAGACATACCAGCTCTGAATGCTTTGCTTCAAACTGCATTGCTCGCCAAAACCGCATGGCATCTGTGCTGGTGAAGGTTGCCCCATCCCATGCGAACACTATTCCAAACTTTGAGGCACCTCAGGGTAGACATATCAACACTGAATGCTTTCCTCCACACTGTAACCCTCACCAGGATGGCATGGCATCTGTGCTGGTGGATATTTCCCCATGCGAATACCCATTCGCATTTGGTAGTGGTACAGTGCGGTGCCCCAAAATGCACAGCGGCCCTCACCAAAATCGCATGGCATCGGTGCTGGTGGATATTCCCCCATGCGAACACTCATTCGAGTTTGAAACACTTGAAGGGACTTGAGGCGCCTTGAAGGCACTTGGTAGTGGTGCAGTGCGGTACATCAAGGTGCAAAGAGGAGCGTACCAGTATAGCATGGCATCTGTGCTGGTGGATATTTCCCCACGCCAACACAGCTACTCCAGCAATAAGGCATGCTATACTCGTGACGTCAGCAGCAGTGGAGGGCAGAGCGGGACGGCCAGTGAGGAAGAAAGAGAGAGGGGCGGCAATGTAGTAGCTGGTGTGGTTGGGGACCGTGGGGAGAGGGGTGGGGGAGAGGAGCAGCAACTTAGTAGGGAGTGTGGTGGAGCAATGGAGGGCAGAGCATGGTGTCCAGCAAATAGAAGGAGAGCGGAGAGACTTTTGAGTCGACTCAAAAGATGACTTTTGAGTTGACTTTTGAGTCGATTCAGAGGGCAGAGCATGGTGTCCAGCAAATAGAAGGAGAGCGGAGAGACTTTTGAGTCGACTCAAAAGATGACTTTTGAGTTGACTTTTGAGTCGATTCAGAGGGCAGAGCATGGTGTCCAGCAAACAGAAGGAGAGCGGAGACGCCATGTAGTATCTGGTAGTGTTGGGATGAGGGGGGAAAGAGGGGGGAGGGGGTAGTGGGTGGCTTTTGAGGCGCCTCAAAAGTCATGTAGTATCTGGTAGCGTTGGGATGAGGGGGAAAAGAGGGGGGTGGGGGAAGGGTGATGGGTGGGTGGGGCGGGAGGAAGAGGAGGTGATGTTGGTGATGAACGCGGGTTGGAGGGCAGAGAATGACAGCCAGCGAGGAAGAAGGAGAGCGGAGGGCAGTGTAGTAGCTGGTGGGGAAGGGAAGGGGTCGGGGGAGAGGGGCGGGGGAAGAGAGGCGGGGCGAGAGGGGTGGGGGGAGAGGGGCGAGGGGAGAGGGGCGAGGGGAGAGGGACGAGGGGAGAGGAGCAGCAACTTAGTAGCTGGTATTGGATGGGCATGGTTGAGCAGAGGAGGGCAGAGAATGACAGCCAGAGCGGCAACGTAGTAGCTGGTGGGGAAGGGGAAGGGGATAGAGGATTAAAGGAGCGACCGAGGAGGTAGGCTGAGACGTGAATGTGAGAAGATGTTGGGGAGACAGAGAGGGCAGTGGACTCCCAAAGCCGCCTGGAGAGATGCATTTCAGAAAGCATACATCAGTGTTTCCAACTTCCAACTTCCGCCAGTCCACCAGCACTTCACTCCTTACCAGCACTTTGAGACGTCTCAGAAAGCATACATCAGTGTTTCCAAATTCCAACTTCCGCCAGTCCACCAGCACTTCACTCCTTACCAGCACTTTGAGACGTCTCAGAAAGCATACATCAGTGTTTCCAACTTCCGCCAGTCCACCAGTCCACCAGCACTTCACTCCTTATCCAACGAAACCCGTACACTGTCTAGAGTGCACTCACCAGAGGCCGAGGAGATAGGCTGAGACGTGCCATGTGGGACGATGTCGACGAGACAGAGAGGGCAGTGGACTCCCACAGGCGCCTGGAGAGGCACTTGCTCTGGCAATTGCTGCTGCTGCTGCTGCTGCTGCTGCTGCTCTGATCAAGGGACGGAATGCTGATATTCCCTTGTCCGCATGAGGCTCATACAATGTCCAGAAGGTTGGGGTCAGCCAGGGCACTCACCAGATTTGAGGCGTCTCAAAACTCACCAGAGGCCGAGGAAGAAGGCTGAGATGTGCATTTGCGAGGAGGGTGGGGAGGAGGAGAGGGCAGTTGACTCCCACAGCCGTCTGGTGAGATGCAGATGGAAGAGGAGCGACTGGAAAGGCACTCCGTGCAGCAGAAGCTGCAATGCTTGAACGCTGCTGGTGGCTGTGATGTCAGGTGTGCTTGTTACGGTGCTTTCGCTGCTGCTGTTATTGCTGCTGTAATTGCTGCTGCCATTGCTGCCCTTACTGCTGCTGGTGATATCGCTGAAGCCGGTGGGGAGTTCGGTGCTGAGGAGTGTGGTGAGGTGGGAGGGAGCAGTGAGCGCGAGGGCGAGCAGAGCAAGGTTGAAGGCGAATCCGACAATGTAGAAATGAGAGAACCAGCGGTGAGGCACCGTCATGTGCTGTCAGGGGGTGGTGGGGAAGAGGGAGGGAGCAGGGAGCAGTGAGAGCGAGGGCGAGCAGTGCAAGGTTGACGGAGAATTTGACAATGTAGAAATGAGAGAACCAGCGATGGGGAACGGTCATGTTCTGGCAGGAATGGTTTTTGAAAACGAAGAGAAAAAGGAGAGGGAGAGGGAGAGGGGACAATGAGGGTGAGAATGAGCAGAGCAAGGTTGAAGGAGAATCCGACAATGTAGAAATGGGAGAACCAGCGGTGAGGCACCGTCATGTGCTGGCAGCGGGTGGGGAAAAAGAGGGGGGCAAGAAGAGGGAACAGTGAGGGCGAGGGCGAATCCGACCACGTAGAAATGAGAGAACCAACGGTGAGGTACCGTCATGTGCTGGCAGGGATAGTTTGGGAAAATTAGGAGAAGAAGGAGAGGGAGAAGGAGAGGGGCCAGTGAGGGTGAGAATGAGGAGTGCAAGGTTAAAGGCGAATCCGCGGATGTAAAAGTGGGAGAAGCAGCGATGGGGAACCGTCATGTGCTGGCAGGGATGGTGTCGGAAGGGGGGGGGCTAAGGAGAGGGAGAGAGGACAGTGAGGGTGGGGGCGAGGAGCAAAAGGTTGACAGAGAATCCAAGCATGTAGAAGTGGGAGGACCAGCAGTGAGGCACCGTCATGTGCTGGCAGGGGTTGGGGTTAGAAGGGGAGAAGGAGAGGAGAAAGAAGCGCTGTGAGGGCGAGGGAGAGGAGAAAGAAGCGCTGTGAGGGCGAGGGAGAGGAGCAAGAAGCGCTGTGAGGGCGAGGGAGAGGAGAAAGAAGCGCTGTGAGGGCGAGGGAGAGGAGAAAGAAGCGCTGTGAGGGCGAGGGAGAGGAGCAAGAAGCGCTGTGAGGGCGAGGGAGAGGAGAAAGAAGCGCTGTGAGGGCGAGGGAGAGGAGAAAGAAGCGCTGTGAGGGCGAGGGAGAGGAGAAAGAAGCGCTGTGAGGGCGAGGGAGAGGAGAAAGAAGCGCTGTGAGGGCGAGGGAGAGGAGAAAGAAGCGCTGTGAGGGCGAGGGAGAGGAGAAAGAAGCGCTGTGAGGGCGAGGGAGAGGAGAAAGAAGCGCTGTGAGGGCGAGGGAGAGGAGCAAGAAGCGCTGTGAGGGTGAGGGAGAGGAGCAAGAAGCGCTGTGAGGGCGAGGGAGAGGAGAAACGGGTTGAAAGGCGAATCCGAGAATGTAGAAGTAAGAGAACCAGCGGTGAGGCACTGTCATGTGCTGGCTGGCAGGTATGGTGTTGGAAGGGGAGAAAATAAGGAGCAGGAAAGGAGGGAGGTGGGCGGGAAATGGATGGAGGTGAGATTGTGAGTGGACTTGAGAGGCACTGGGGGGATTGGGTGATGGAAGGGAGAGGAAGTTGGCGGAGAGGGTAGGACACGAAGGGGTAGAATGTGAGTTTACTGCGACGAGAGATGCAATGTTCCAAGACACCATGGTGGTTTGGAACTCACCCGTAGAGAGGCAAATTTCGATGGCGCGAGGGATTTCACGGGTTTGCTGGTCGAGCCTCTTTGGGTGATTCCTCGGCCGGCTAGAATTCGCATGAGATAGCGGAGGGGAGCAAGCACGGGAAGAGGCAAGAGCGCGAGGATGACTGGAAGAGCGATTATTGCCCAGAAGCAGCGGAGGAGGGAAATTACGGCGTCGCGGAGCGTCAGACTTGCTACATCAGCAGCAGCGTTTATCGGTGACATAATTTCCTGAATCCGCGAGGAGAATGAAGCGCAATTGCGCTACCTCAAAGCGATTTGCCAGTATTCGTTATATGCGCGTGCTCCGCAGCGCGTGAGGAAGCGTGGAATGCGGATAAGCGGTGTGCTGCGCAGCACGCGCACGCTGAACACGGAAAGGCGTAGGCGAGAAAGAGAGGGAGAGAAGTGGAAGGCCGATGTAAATGATAGCTCTATGGCGATGACGTTGAGAGGAAGAGAGTCTAAGAGCTACTGTAGCTCACTGACACATGTGTTCACGCATCGGGCGGGAGGGGATTCCATGGATTCTGCGAATTCAAAGATTCGAGGAGTAACTGTCATGAGAGTTCAGATTCGCTCATAAGCCACCACACTAGACCCTTCAATCGTTCGTCAAAAGACGCTATAAAACCCTTTCAACCGCATTGAAGTGACAGAGAACAACCTGCTTTTCCCAGGCATCCACGACATCTCTCCCAATCTTCTGCGACAGCTGTCACGAATTCGTGAGCCTCATTGCGATTGTCGTACAGAGCGTGGTAACATTTCGCGGCTTCAGGAGTGATGCTGTTTCTGGCGTTGTTTTCCGTAGTGATGAGAGCTTGGTTAGCTTCTGTGACCCCACTAAACCGCTCTCAAATCGAAGAGAAACTACTCTTAACGTGAGGAAACGCCCTGAACCGCAGAACCGCAGAACGCCAAGTTCTTCTCTGGCAAGAGCGGCAATCCTCGGATTCATCGTTCTTTCTGTCACTTCTCATCCATGGCTGCTGAAATTGGTCAACGTTCATCTCGCGGTTGTGCTATCCACTCGAGATGCCAATCATCAAGTTCCTTAATTTCCGCGTTTTGTAAAATGGTGGTCTGAACGACGCATATCTTTCTCGAAATCACCAAGATTATGTCTGTGTGTCGAGCATTCGGAGATGGAGTCGAGGAGCCTGTATGTCGGCTCACGCCGTTCCCCATGAAAATAGTCGAAAGTTTGCATTTTCTCCGTTTCCACGAGCCCACTTTATCCAAAAATCACGACTCGGAAACGACGTGGCCTAGCGCCTCCGTGCCGCTTGCCGTTGGCCTTTTAAATATGTAATTCACTGGTTCAGTCTCATACACACCGGCTTTCTTTCCGTCACTTATCGAGCCTCGCTTTTATTCCGACGTGCCCCGTCTAATTCCTCGGAATGGCTCCTTCATTTTTAAGCTGCGCGGCAGTTCTTCAAATTCTCCTTATCATTCTTCAGTACGTTCTCGGTCCGTCCTGTTGTCTTAGAAAGAAGCATTCAGCTTACGCGAGATTTCACTCTGTAATTTCGTATGACGGCTCACTCCTTTCCTCTAAACCTTCCCTGTCGTTTCCCAGTCTCAATGTGAGCGTGCAAGCACGGAGCATGCCATCTCGTGATGCTCCCCGTGACCTTCAACCAGATGCAAATTGCCATCATAGTTCATCAGTACCCGGGTCTTTATCCCAGTTCAAGCCTTCTTCCGGAAAGCTGACTGCCACCAGCGTGAGTTTTTTGTGTTGCACAATTTGATGCTGTCGGATATAGTAGGCAGCCCAAGTGGGTGGTGGGACAGTGGATGGGGAACGGCCGTCTAGTTTATTCCCTTTTGTAGACGTATTATGAGATTTCGTATTCTAACTGGTTACTCCCTTTTTGCAGACCCTTCAACGGCCTTCGCGGCATCCTTGGAAGCGCCTGGCTACCTCATGGAAATTGATGTTCAGTGACCAGCAGCTTCATGAATCACAACTGAACGCTGGTATCAGAAACACTGAAGCAGGGGATGGCATTGGACTTGCATATACTTCGCTGAAGCAGATGTTTCCATCGTGGACATTGGTATCCAGAAAGCAAGTCCTTGGAGGGTCAGGAGCCACATTCTTTGAGCAGGACGCCAATGCTGGGAGCATCAACAACCTGGGAGTTACCAACAGTCAGAGAAGCAGAGTGGGAGATGGCATGGGTTATGCTTCAAGCTTTCAGGGCAACGCAATGTCCCAACAAAGTGCAACGAATCCCACACTCCCCACTGTGTATGTTGGGTCTAGTGTCTCCACTACCGCTGCAACAAATGGGGTAGGGTCATCATTTCCTTTTGCAGGGTTGGGAACAACTGGTGATGTGTTTGTTGGCGTGGATGGTCAGTTGATTCCAACAGGTGCAAGCATTGGAGATTGATACGTTCAAGCAACTGTATTGGAGATTGTTATAGAATTCTTGTTGACTTAAGATATTGTAATTGACGATGTACTACAATGCAAGACATCACCGTACGATGACGTTCTACCCCCTACACATTCTTTTACAATGACCTGCCAGTTCACGGTGGCTTCTGTAGCTTAAGACCTGTAGAATGCCAGCAAACAAATAATTTGCTATCACTGGTGCCACCTCAGCTTCTTCAGCAACTTTCACTGAAGCCAGTGACCATTGACCAACTCATGGCATCCTCTCCTCTCCTTCCCATATTGTGGCGGCTGCTGCTACTGCAGTTCCAGCCATTATTGTTTCTCCCGCAGCGTCCCTGCCCCAGTGACTACGGTACCTCAAGCATCCTGTCTTTCTCGTCCTGCCCTGCCCCCTTCAGGCAAATTCTGTTACACAATGCTACTACTACCGTAATCACCCGGACATAACACCCTAGGGTCTTACTTTAAATACAGCAAAAAAATGGGGGGGGGTCTTCTCATAGGAAAAAGCTACATACCACCCGGGTGCATACATATGACATTTTTTTAGTGTAAGGGTTTCTATAAATAGGCAGCTTGGGTGTTTTCAAGGTTGGTTTAGCATCAAAGTTGGAAGCGAGATTGTCAGTTTCGACGACAACATTGACTCCTTCTTGAAGTTGCGAGGTGGCACCTCTTTGGCCACTTGATAGCGAAAGAACTACCAGCGTGGCAACAGTGAAAAAGTGGGACGGAGGTGACCCCAGCAGATACTTTCGAAATTACCATGTAATTTCGTGCAAAAAGTGATCATCGCGATGTCCCCCCGTCATTGCACATACTCGTTAACACCTAAAATAAGGCATTCTGTGTAAAAAAGGGGGTGTTATAAAAAATCACCCCAAAAGGGGGGGTATAGTACAAACGGGGTCAACTATAACACCCACCCCGCACAAGCCACCCGGGGGGTCTACAATTTCGGCGGGTGGTATGTCCGGGTGATTACGGTACCAGAAATTTAGAGGCACCTCAGATTTCTCTTCCTCCTCCCCATTTGCCATTTCCATTAGTCCTGCTGCTACAGCTGCTACTGCCGCTGCTGCTCCCACCATCTACCGGTACCAGCACCACTTCACTTGTACTTGGCTTTAAGTCGAGTCAATTCCGCCTCATCATCTGCTCCCAACCCCATCTCCATCTGAGGCACCCTCTCATCCCCCCCCCCCCACCCCCCCTTCCCCGTGCTGCAGTTGCGGTTGCTTCTACTGCAGTGCTACCGCTCCCACCAGCCACCAGCACCACTTCACTTGTACTTGGCTTTCAGCCGAGCCAGTTCCGCCTCATCGTCCGCTCCCAACCCCATCTCCATCTGAGGCACCCTCTCATCCTCCTCCTCCACCCCTGCTGCCTCTGCCGCCCGCTGCTTTTGCCGCACCGCCGTGGGAAGCTGCGCAGTAGCTTCTGTTGCCAGCTCATCAAGCACCTTGTTCACCTCCTCTTCCATTTCATCCTCCATCTCCTCGGTGTCTAAAGCATCATCCACTGCCTCTTCCAGCATCTCGCTGATCAATCCAGCCTGAACAGGGTGAAAGGGAGCAGAGAATACAAGGGAGGTGGGAGGATGGGACCTTGTTCACCTCCTCTTCCATCTCCTCGGTGTCCAAAGCATCATCTACAGCCTCTTCCAGCATCTCACTTATAAGCCCAGCCTGGATAGGGAAGAAGAGGGCGGAAAAGACAGGGAGATTGAGTTGCTATCACCTCCTCTTCCATCTCTTCCTCCATCTCCTTGGTGTCCAGAGCATCGTCTACAGCCTCTTCCAGCATCTCGCTGATCAAACCAGCCTGAGAGGGGAGGAAAAGGGTAGAAAATACAGGGAAATTGAATTGCTATCACCTCCTCTTCCACCTCATCTTCCATCTCCTCCATGTCCAAAGCGTCATCCACTGCCTCTTCCAGCATCTCACTTATAAGACCAGCCTGGGAACCGAAAAAAGAAGGGAAAAAGAGAGGAAAAGAGAGCCTTGTTCACCTCCTCTTCCACTTCATCCTCCATCTCCTCCTTGTCCAAAGCGTCATCCAATGCCTCTCCCAGCATCTTGCTGATCAAACCAGCCTAAAAATCACGACAAGACCTGGAAAAAAGAAGGATGCAGGGATAGGGGGGAAAGAGCAGAAAAGACGAGGGGTGGATCTGTGTGGAAGGCGGGTGAGCTGGGGAGGCAACCTCTCTTCATTCATCTCCTTGGGCAGTTCTTATATCGTGGCCGCCACTTGAGGCACTTTGACCTGAGGCACTTTGATCTGAGGCACTTTGACCTGAGGCACTTTGACCAACCCAATGACTGACCAGACTGGTTGTTGGCAGCTTCATGTGCTTCTGAACCCGCTCAGAGCAGCCCTACGTACGTACGTCCCCCTATGGCTTTTTTTTTAAGCACCTCAAACGGCTGTTGGCAGCTTCATGTGCTTCTGAACCCGCTCAGAGCAGCCCTACGTACGTACGTCCCCCTATGGTTTTTTTTTTAAGCACCTCAAACGGCTGTTGGCAGCTTCATGTGCTTCTGAACCCGCTCAGAGCAGCCCTACGTACGTACGTCCCCCTATGGCTTTTTTTTTAAGCACCTCAAACGGCTGTTGGCAGCTTCATGTGCTTCTGAACCCGCTCAGAGCAGCCCTACGTACGTACGTCCCCCTATGGTTTTTTTTTTAAGCACCTCAAACGGCTGTTGGCAGCTTCATGTGCTTCTGAACCCGCTTAGAGCAGCCCTACGTACGTACGTCCCCCTATGGTTTTTCTTTGAAGCACCTCAAACGGCTGTTGGCAGCTTCATGTGCTTCTGAACCCGCTCAGAGCAGCCCTACGTACGTACGTCCCCCTATGGTTTTTTTTTGAAGCACCTCAAACGGCTGTTGGCAGCTTCATGTGGTTCTGAACCCGCTCACAGCAGCCCTACGTACGTACGTCCCCCTATGGTTTTTTTTTTAAGCACCTCAAACGGCTGTTGGCAGCTTCATGTGCTTCTGAACCCGCTCAGAGCAGCCCTACGTACGTACGTCCCCCTATGGTTTTTTTTTTTTAAGCACCTCAAACGGCTGTTGGCAGCTTCATGTGCTTCTGAACCCGCTTAGAGCAGCCCTACGTACGTACGTCCCTCTATGGTTTTTCTTTGAAGCAACTCAAACGGCTGTTGGCAGCTTCATGTGCTTCTGAACCCGCTCACAGCAGCCCTACGTACGTACGTCCCCCTATGGGTTTTCTTTGAAGCACCTCAAACGGCTGTTGGCAGCTTCATGTGCTTCTGAACCCGCTCACAGCAGCCCTACGTACGTACGTCCCCCTATGGTTTTTTTTTAAGCACCTCAAACGGCTGTTGGCAGCTTCATGTGCTTCTGAACCCGCTCACAGCAGCCCTACGTACGTACGTCCCCCTATGTTTTTTCTTTGAAGCACCTCAAACGGCTGTTGGCAGCTTCATGTGCTTCTGAACCCGCTCACAGCAGCCCTACGTACGTACGTCCCCCTATGGTTTTTTTTTTAAGCACCTCAAACGGCTGTTGGCAGCTTCATGTGCTTCTGAACCTGCTCACAACAGCCCTACGTACGTACGTCCCCCTATGGGTTTTCTTTGAAGCACCTCAAACGGCTGTTGGCAGCTTCATGTGCTTCTGAACCCGCTCACAGCAGCCCTACGTACGTACGTCCCCCTATGGTTTTTTTTTAAAGCACCTCAAACGGCTGTTGGCAGCTTCATGTGCTTCTGAACCCGCTCACAGCAGCCCTACCTCCCCCTAGGATCAAACACTCCCAACCTCGCACCTTCATCATTTCTTTGGACAGTTCTTGCAACGTGCCCACCACCTAGGGCACTTTGATCAGCCCAATGGTTGATTGGCTTCATGTGGCCCTAAATGTGCCCAGGTGCTCTTTTCCCTCTCCCCGCCCCTCCTCCCCCCTCGCACCTTCACCTCAAAAGGTGCCCACCACCTAGGGCACTTTGATCAGCCCAATGGTTGATTGGCTTCATGTGCCCCTAAATGTGCCCAGGCGCTCTTTTCCCTCTCCCCGCCCCTCCTCCCCCCTCGCACCTTCACCTCAAAAGGTGCCCACCGCCTAGGGCACTTTGATCAGCCCAATGGTTGATTGACTTCATGTGCCCCTAAATGTGCCCAGGCGCTCTTTTCCCTCTCCCCGCCCCTCCTCCCCCCTCGCACCTTCACCTCAAAAGGTGCCCACCACCTAGTGCACTTTGATCAGCCCAATGGTTGATTGGCTTCATGTGCCCCTAAATGTGCCCAGGCGCTCTTTTCCCTCTCCCCGCCCCTCCTCCCCCCTTCACCTTCATCATTTCCTTGGACAGTTCTTGCATCGTGCCCGCCACCTGGGGCACTTTGATGAGCCCACTGACGAGTTTCACATGCTTCTAGAGCTGCTGAAATGCCACTGTAAAGGCTCTTCCCTCCTCCCTCTCCCCTCTTCCCAGTTCCCCCACCCTCGCACCTTCATCATTTCTTTGGATAATTCTTGCATCGTGCCAGCAACCTGCGGCACTTTGATCAATCCGCTGACGAGTTTCATCACCTCCGTGCTCTTCGCCATGTGCCCCGCCACCTTCGCCATGGCTGGGAGGGAGTGGAGAGGGATTGGGAGGGGTTGAAAGGATTTGCAACGGGGGGATTTGGGGGAGGGATCAGCATGTGAGAACAGGGCTCAGGCCTCCCATCCCACTCAGCCCGCTGTTGAGCTTCATCACATCTGCGCTCTTCGCATGTGCCCTGCCACCTTCGCCATGGCTGGTGAGATTGAAAAGGGAGGGAGAGAAGAGAGGAAGGGAAGGAAGAGAAGGAGCAAAAATTTCATAATCGGAGAACAAGAGGAGGAGAGTCCGTTGGAGGAGAAAGGTTCAGGGGGTTCACGAATCTAGCATTCGAGAACTGGAATGAAGACAAACCCTCACACCCTCACACCCTTACACCCTCACACCCTTACACCCTCGCACCCTTACACCCTCACAATCGCCTAAACCTCAACCTCCCTCCCTATCTCCTCCCCCTTCCGCGCCTCCTCACCAATGTTCTCCCCCAGGTGCAGCGAGTTGGATTTCATGTGAGCCTCGTGCTCGTGCTCACACCTCCCCTTATCACCCAAGACTCGTATGTTTTTTGAGAATTCTCAAAAAACCTCCCCTTATCACCCAAGACTCGTCCTCTCTCCAACCCTCTTTCTCCAATCCCTACACAGATTCCTAACCCCTCCCCCCGCTCACCAATGTTCTCTCCCAGGTGCAGTGAAATCGATTTCATCTGGGCTTTCTGCTCGTGCTCACATCTATGTTCATCAATGTTCATCTATGTTCATCAATGTTCATCAATGTTCATCAATGTTCATCACACCCCCTGCCCACTCCCTCTCCCCCCCTCTTCTCACCAATGTTCTCTCCCAGGTGAAGGGAAATCGAGTTCATCTGGGCTTTCTGCTCGTGCTCACATCAATGACAACCCCCCTGCCCACTCCCTCCTCCTGCACCCCCCTCTCACCAATGTTCTCCCCAAGGTGCAGCACGGTGGAGTTCATTTGAGCCTTCTGCTCGTGCTAAAACCCCCACCTGTTCCCTCCCTTCCACCTCACCCCGTCCCTCTCCTCTCACCGATGTTCTCCCCCAGGTGAAGCGAAATGGAGTTCATTTGAGCCTTCTGCTCGTGCATGCGACTGATGGCCTTCCGGGATCGCACCAGCTCCTTGGCTAGATGCTGGGCGATGGGAGATGTGAGGGGGGTAAGGGGCGAAAGGGAGAGCGAACAAGGAAGAGGAAATGGAGTTCATTTGTGCCCTGTGCTCGTGCATGCGGCTGATGGCTTTCCACGATCGCACCAGCTCCTTGGCTAGATGCTGGGGGGACGTGAGGGGTGGTGGGGGGGGAAGGGGAGGTGGGGGGTGTGCGAAAGGAAGAGCAAACAAGGAGGAGGAAATGGAGTTCATCTGGGCTTTCTGCTCGTGCATGCGACTGATGGCCTTCCGGGATCCAGCTCCTTGGCTAGATGCTGGGGGGACACGAGGGGTGAGAGGGAAGAGGGGAGATGGGAACAGGGAGGGGAAGGGGTGTGGAGTTCATCAGGGCAATTTTCTCGTGCATGGGACCGATGGCTTTGGGAGATCGCACCAGCTCCTTGACTAGATGCTGGGGGGACGTGAGGGGTGGTGGGGGGGGAAGGGGAGGTGGGGGGTGTGCGAAAGGAAGAGCAAACAAGGAGGAGGAAATGGATTTCATCTGGGCTTTCTGCTCGTGCATGCGACTGATGGCCTTCCGGGATCGCACCAGCTCCTTGGCTAGATGCTGGGGGGACACGAGGGGTGAGAGGGAAGAGGGGAGATGGGAACAGGGAGGGGAAGGGGTGTGGAGTTCATCAGGGCAATTTTCTCGTGCATGGGACCGATGGCTTTGGGAGATCGCACCAGCTCCTTGGCTAGATGCTGCACTCGATAAGCGAACAGGAGACAGCGACGGAGGGAAGCGGGAGACGGGAGAGGGGAGAGGGGAGAGGGGAGAGGAATCGCGTTGAGAGTCATGAGACTTTGTTGTGCTATCGTGTCTCCGCATCTAACCATACAAAAATGGTTGAGAAACACGAACTACCCCTCTCACTGCAATGTCAGAGAGGGAGGAACAGAGACTAACGCTCTCTTATGCCATAGTGTACCACATTGCACCGCACTGCAATAAGCTGCAATAAAGTAACCGAATCACACCATGCCATATCCAAACAATGTCACACCATAATCCTTCACATATACTATCCATGACATTGTTAAACGAATCACCATGACACAACACACCATGCCATCTCCAACCAATGTCACACCGTCTAATCCTCCACATATACAATACAGCATGTCGTGTTAAACCAATCACCATGACACACCACACCTACCACACTACGCCACCCCAGACTACACCACACCGCACCACACCACACTGCACTCATCCCACACACCTTGGCGGATCCCAAATCGCCCCTCTTAGCCGCCTCCTTGATTCCCTTCTTCACATTCACCTCCTCTCGTTGGATTTCTTCACATTCACCACTCTCCACCACCCTGCTCAACAACCCATCCTATCCCAACCCATCCTATCCCATCCATCCCACTATCCCACCACACCACCGCACCCATCCCACACACCTTGGCTGATCCCAGATCGCCTCGCTGTGTCACCTCCTTGATTCCCTTCTTCACATTCGCCTCGCTCCACCAGCCCACTCACCAATACATCCCACCCAAACCCATTCCCTCCCACTCCACCCCAGCCCATCCCATCCCATCCCACCACACCACGCCTCGCCCATCCCCCACGCACCTTGGCTGATCCCAGATCGCCCCTCTTGGCCGCCTCCTTGATTGCCTTCTTTGCATTCACCTCCTCTCGCTGGATCTCTGCGGAAAAAGGAGGAAGAGGAGAGGAGGACAGGGGGAGGAGGAATGAAGGAGGAGGGAGGAGGCACGAGGGGGAAGTCGGAGGAGGGAGGACGGAGGGAGGACGGAGAGAGGACGGAGAGAGGATGGAGAGAGGACGGAGGGAAGAGGGATGAAGGAGACAAATCGGTAAGATACAGCGATGACATGGTGGATGGAAAAGATTTGATTGATTTGATTGGATCTTCAATAGATTGTATCTTCACCGCCCCTTAATCTCCTTCTTCAAATTTACCACCTTAATCTCCTTGATGAAATGATGGTGTGTGCCAATACCTCTTGATAACCATGGCGTGAACTAGTTCAAGAAAAGTTACAGAGCAACCAACCTCAGATTCTCCGCGTGTTTCTTTTGCCGTCTCAAAAACGGCTCTCCAGAAACATACCATCTACCTGATGACACCACCCAATCCCATCCCACTCGATTCCATCCCACCCCACCCCAGTCCACCACACTCCACCCTACCCCATCCCATCCCATCCCAGCTTATCCCAACGAACTCGGATGTTCCGCTCTATGTTGCGCTGCTCCTGCCGTAGCTTGCGCTGCCTCTCCCCATACCATCCTATCCCATCAAATCCCATCCCAACCCATCCCACCTCGGATGTTCCGCTCGATGTTGCGCTGCTCCTGCCGTAGCTTGCGCTGCCACTCCCGCAGCTGCTGCTGCGGAGTCAGCTTCGGACCGAACATGTTCTTCAGCATCGTGCTGACGTGGAAGCTGACGTGGCTAGCGCCGGCTCGGTTGATTAGCTTCCACACTCACAAGTAAATTTCGAATGGTTATAATAACCGTCAGGATGACTGTTCCTGATAGTTTCCGAGTCGCTCCTAAAAGAATGACAAGGTCGTGACCCCTTACAATCACCACTCGGTGAAATCGTTCCTTATATTCGCACTCTTGCAACCCAAACAAGACAATCGCGGCTCCACAACCAGTCTCCAGTGGTTAACTAGCTGAGACTAACTGACAGAAATTGACGCTAACTGAGACTCAGTTGATGCTAAAAGGCTGACACACTGAGCACAACTGAGAAATAGAGGGATAGCACGTGACGCCAAAGGGTCGTTTCCTGATTTCGCGCGCTCTGGAAGCAAGAGAGCGGATTCGCGAAGATAGTAGTTCGAATTCACGGACGAAAATCGAACGTATTCGCGAGCAGGAATCTAATCAGTGGGAGCTCGGAACAACAACCATACAATATCAGTGACTGCAAGAAAGACTAGTGTAAAATGGATACTCAAATCTGCTCGAGAATGACATAGGCTTGAGCTGAGCAGCCACGAGAAGAATTTCATCAGGACCACAAATGTTGAGTGAATGCGCGTTCATTTTAGGCCAGTCTTCCCACGTGGCTGTGGAATGTTTCTTCACAGAAACTCGCAGAGACTATGAATGGTACTTCTGGGATCATCCCAACCACTCGAAAGCTTTCAGTGAATATTGCTACGAGGTTTCTTGAATACGGTTTTCCGAATCAGGTCAGGAGGGAAGGGGAAGCTACCTTGCATATCCTTGTTACAGAGAATCGCGTTTACAGCGTCGGAGATATTTGTCCAGTGGAATTTCACCCCCTTCATGTGTCAGCGGGTGACAATACGTACCTCTTCAAAACGCACAACACCGAGCAGAACGCGAAACCCTTTTGGCACTTGCTTCTCGGGAGGGCCAAATCCAAAATGGATTTGAAATTTCGGCAACGTCTGGCATCCGTGGCCCTGAAATTGACAGATAACCGTACTAAACCCACGGTTTTTTTAGCTTTCTTTTGCACAAACCGTTTTGAACCTTTTTGAAAGCAGTGAATTAGGGTGAGGAAATCTCCCATTGCTTCACTTCAGAAACGTGAAGTAAAGCTCGCCTCGCCACTCACACCCAATTGGTCAGACAGATTCCGTCAGTGCTGTGTGCGGGCAGAGCAGTCCTTGATCCGACGGATTCCCTCGGCATTTCGCGTCCGTCGTCATCTTTGCCGGTTAGCCGTCATCAACGGGCCCATGGATTCCATGGTCGTCAACCGCGGTCCCACGACAGCATCTAAGCTGTTGCCGCCTCGTCGCGCACTTGGACCCGCATTTACTACTACGCGCGTCGCCAGTAATTATATTGCTCATATTTGTCATACTAGCAGCCCTATTACCGGTCCTGTGAGCTGCATTGGTTACGAAAGATTGCCGAATTTGGTAACAGATTCCAAGAGACGGTTACAATCGCCGAGAAGCGGCCGAACTCGGTATACTGCCTCTGCGACGGGTGGTACAAAATCCCCTTCTACTGCGGATGACGCGACAGCGATTAAGGCCAGACTCCACGCCGCGATTGCGAATTCGGAGCGCGGAGTGGTAACAGACGAGGCTATTACTCGCGAAATTCTGGCAGCTATTGAATCGCTGGAGAAGCTAGGGGGAGGCGGGAGAGCGGACGGGGAGAAAGGAACTCATGTGACGACATCTGACGAATCATTGAGTGCCACGTGGAAGCTTCTATGGACGACTGAAAAAGAGACGCTCTTCATTTTCAAGCAGGCTCCCTTTTTCGGCACCACCGCCGGAGACACATTTCAAGTAAATAGCTCCCTTTTTCGGCACCACCATTCAAACTCCTTTTTCGGCACCATGGCTGGAGACACATTTTAAAGCAGCTGTTTTTTTACCAGGCTATGAAAACCATAGACGTGCCGTGGGGCACATTGAGCAACACCATCACCTTCCCCCCTTACCCCTTCCCTTCCTCTCCCACTCATCCCCTCCCTCCCTTACTCCCTCCACCCCATGCAGATCAGAGACGTGGCTAAGAGCACTCTAAGCAACACCATCACCTTCCCCTCCTCGGGCATGTTTGACGTATCTGCTTCCATCCAAGTCGCCTCCCTCTCTCCCCTCCCCACACCCTCTCCCTTTCTTGAACCACCATCCCATGCCATTCACAGACCATAGACGTGGCAAAGGGCACTCTCAGCAACACCATCACCTTCCCTCCCTTTCTCCCTCGCTTACCCCCTCCCTTACCCATCCCTTACCCTTTCTTGAACCACCATCCCGTGCCATATGCAGACCATAGACGTGGCGAATGGCACTCTCAGCAACACCATCATCTTCCCTCCCTAACCCCCTCCTTTACTCTCTCTTACCCCTTCCCTTACCCTTTCCTGTTCCCTCCTTGCCTTGCAGACCATAGACGTAACGAAGGGCACTCTAAGCAACACCATCACCTTCCCCCCCTCGGGCATGTTTGACGTCTCTGCTTCCATCCAAGTCGCTTCCGCACAACGCGTCACCTTCCAGTCAGTATCGCCTCGGCCCCACGCAAAAACCACCCCTCTCTCACACACATGTTTCCTCCCCCACTCCGGCTTCTTACATTCTCGCAGCTCCCCCCTCTCCCCATGACTATGCCTCCATGGTCGTCGCATGCACCTTTTGAGCTGCTAACCAAGCCATGTATTCGCTTTTCATAGTAACTTACATCAAGCATTTCGTTTCCCCTTCCCCACAACAGGTTCACAGGTGCTCGTCTAGTCACAGCTTCATGGATTCTACCTTTCCCACCCTTTGAGGCAACTCAATACGCGCCTCTTGCCTCCCATTCTCCCACACCAGGTTCACAGGTGCTCGTCTAGTCACAGCTTCATGGGCGCCTTCCTACAGAAACCCCACCTGTTGCACCTTTTGGGTCAACTCAAATCTCGCCTCTCACTTCCTCTTTCCCTACTTGTCCCCTTGAGTCAACTCAAAAGTCGCACCTCACTTTCTTCCCTACATAAGGTTCACATGTGCTCGACTCGTCACTCCTCCTTCGTACGTGGACTCTACCTCTTCCACCTTTCGTGATTCCCCTTCCCCTCATCAGGTTCACAGGTGCTCGTCTCGTCACTGCTTCATGGACCCTACCTGTTCCACCCTTCGGCCAGGGATGGTGAGTAGGAATGTGCTGTTTCAATAGATTCTATGTGGCATTGTATGGTAACAAGGTTAACTTAGGAGTCTAGTGCGGTAAATGCTGGAGACTGTTAGCAAAGGAGGAGAAAGTCAAGGATGCAAAGTTTAGTGGAGGAGAAAGTTAAGCAAAGGAGTCTACTACGGTAAATGCTGGACT